TACAGGATACCCGGCGAGGGAGTTAGGCAGCTGAGCAAGTTTGGCTACAGGGTAAGGAGGCCGGCGGCATTCGATTGTGTCCCTCTCATTAGTCGATCATTTGCTAGTTCCAAACAAAGACCTGCACTCCAAGTTCAAAGGCATTACAAAGCCAGTCTCAAAGTCAGAAAGTGAAAACGGGGATGGGTGCTATCGTGCACAACGGCTGGAGGCTCACCCCGTAGGACTACCTGCCTGCTGAGCAGAAGCTGTGGGTGTGTGCTTGGTGCAGTGAACTCCTGGCTCTCGGGGAACAAGTTTGTAATCTTGAGACTGAGGTTGCTGTCTGACTCCAGACTGCATCTTTTTTTAAAAAAAAAATGGACCAGGAGAGGAAGGTACACAATTGAATTGCCATTCAAGACACGTGTACCTGATTAGGGCAGCATAGGGATGCCCGGTCTGGGTTGGAAAATACCTGGAGACTTTGCGGGTGGATCCGAGAGAGGGCGGGGTTTGGGGAGGGGAGGGGCCTCAGCAGGGTACCATTCCATAGAGTCCACCCTCCAAAGCAGCCGTTTTCTCCAGGGGAGCTGATCTCTGTCAGCTGGAGATCAGTTGTAAAAGCGGGGGATCCCCAGGCCCCACCTGGAGGCTGGCAACCCTAGCATCAGCAGGTTATTTAAAATTAGGCCTCTGAATTGTATCTCTGCTGTAGGTCACAGATATTGATTAATTCAACTTGGTCTAAGTTTAAGAAATAGCTGTTTTATTGTTGTACTGTCTGGAGCCGCTGTGTAACATTTGTTTGGCCACTGAAGGTCAGTTGGCTGAAATGTGTTTGGTCAGGGTCAAAAATGGTCAATGTTTGAGATAATTGTATGATTTTATTCTGATTTGAGGCTAGTATTTGGGCCTACACTTGTTTTTATCTAATTTGTAATAAATACATGTATTTTTGTATATTTGGTAATATTTGTGTTTTAAATTTAGATACAGAACTACTGGGCCCTGACATTCTGACATCTTCAACCTTTGGGTTCTTAATTCGATGTTCTGCTGACTCCCACAGTCGCTGGGCAGCATGTTCACAAGTGCCCCATGTCCCTCATACACAAGGAAACTACAAGTCAAATACAGCAGTGCTAACAAAACTCTGTGGTGTGTCACCATACTTCCACAATACACAGAAAGTGGGAAAGAGAAAGCATAAATGCAACACAACATCCTGGATAGGGTTGCCAACTTCTAGGTAGTTAGCAATATGGCCCATTCTGCATCTAGCATTCGCTCCACTGTTTTACCAAACCCACATTGGAACGGAATTTCACCTTAATTCCCCCTAAGAATGCAAATTACACAATAAAAAGGTAAAGGTTCCCTTGCTCGAAAGCCAGTCGAATCCGACTCTAGGGTTGCAGTGCTCATCTCCGTTTCAAAGCCGAAGAGCCAGCGCTGTCCGAAGACGTTTCCGTGGTCATGTGGCCGGCATGACTAAACACCAAGGCGCATGGAACGCTGTTACCTTCCCACCTAAGTGGTACCTATTAATCTACTGGCAATTTCTTGCTTTCAAACTGCTAGGTTGGCAGGAGCTGGAACTAGAGATGGGAGCTCACTCCATCATGCGGCACCCGGGTCTCGTACTGACCTTCCACAGCCTGCAGTTCAGCAAATAGTCCTATTTTCCTTTTGCCTGCAGTGGCCTTTCCTGCCACCAGATGGCAGCCATAGATAAAAAAATTCCCAAAGCTTGACACAAAGGAACTACTGCAGAAATACAGTATGAAACAATGTGGATTTGCAAATTTGCCATGCAGAACTAGCCCTGACCTGGATAGGCCAGGCTAGCCCGATGTCATCAGATCTCAGAAACTAAGCAGGGTTATCCCTGGCTAGTATTTGGATGGGAGACCCACCAAGGAAGCCCAGGGTTGCTACACAGAGGCAGGCAATGGCAAACCGCCTCTGAATGTCTCTTGCCCTGAAAACCCCACCAGGGGTCGCCGTAAGTCAGCTGTGACTTGATGGCATTTCTCACCACCATGCAGAATTGCAATACCCTTACATAGCATGAAATTAACAAAGCTGAGGGTTTATGTAATTGCCAACCGTGTTTACTGAAGGAATAGCCAGTACATTTACATCTTAAGAAGGGGGCTGAGATACCCCCTAGCAATGATACAATGGTAGAGGACATTGTGAAGTATAATATGATTGTATGGGCTCAGAATTTAGGGCATACTATAAATCTTGAAGATTGGGGGCAAATTTGGGAGAAAAATATTAAAATGACTAATGCTATAACATATAAAGAGAATATGTACAAGATGTTTTATAGATGGTATGTTACACCTGATAGACTGGCTAAGCAAAATATTAACTGTTCTGATAAATGTTGGAAATGTAAGAGTAAAAGGGGTACATTTTACCATATGTGGTGGCTATGCGTTGTTACTAAAAAGTTTTGGAAATGGGTCCATAGTTTGATGGAGAAGATACTAAGAGCAAAGATTCCATTTACTCCAGAGGTCTTGCTGTTGAATATATTTCCAAAGGATTATGAAAAAGAGAATAGGTATTTGACTGTTTATATGACGACAGCTGCAAGAATCTTATATGCCAAATATTGGAAAACCATGGTGATACCAACGAAACAGGAGTTTGTGAATAAACTTTTTGAAACAGCAGAAAATGATAAACTGACTTTAGAAATGAGATTAAGCAAAGAGTGGACATTTCAAAAAACATGGGGAAAGTTTTATGATTGGTATAATGCAAATGTAATAGAAGATTAGGCAAGGATAGCGCAATGGACTTGAGAACACAGAAGATAGAAGAATGGAAAGTATTTGATATAGAGTTTTTATTAATTAAGTAATTGCATATAAGCATATAATGTAACTGCACTCTTGGTATATACGTTATGTGTAGTAGAGTGTCTGTTTGTACTGTGTAGATTTGTTTGTTGTAGATTTTTTTAAAAAATTAATAAAAGTGCTCCTGGACTGGAATAACAGGTTGCAGAGTGGAATGAGAGCCCCTGGGAGTAGCAGAAGTGTTCTGGGACTAGAATGATAGCCCCTGGGAGTTGCAAAAGAATTCTGGGACTATCTTTCCACTCTGAGAGCTGTCATTCCAGTCCCAGAACACCTCCGCTACTCCCAGGGCCGTCATTCCACTCTGCAACCTGTCATTCCAGTCCAGGAGCACTGAATCTCTTCCTAGGGACCATCATTTCACTCTGGGGACTGGCATTCCAGTCCCAGAGTAGCCTACCTGGGCCCAATGATCTTAATGGAAAAACCATTCTGCGTTTTCTTTGTGATATTTTTTGTGCTGCCATGTATTTCAGTGGAGCCCATGCAAGTCAATTGGCATTCCTGGCTGTCATTATCACCAATGGGCCTTCAAGCCTCTCCCATTGTATCCAATGGGCAATCCTCTAATTCCTTTTAGTACATCCCTGTTGGTTGCCCCTTTGAAACTGTACCACATCATTTTAAGTAACAGCAAAATGAAGAGCATGAACATGTACACAGTGTACGTTCTTTGCCAATGTTCTCTCTGGGCTGCACACAGGGCAAAATGAAATTTTAAAAGGCATGATGTAATAGGGACAACCAATGGTTTCTCTCACAGTGTGGAAGAACAGCAAAAAGTCTATCACAAATATTCCCAGTGAGTGAACCGGTCAGCCTGCCTGGGGGAGGCAGGAATTGCTCAGATCCTGGTTTTCAGCATATTTGTGGTTTGTTTTTCTTCTAGGTTTATCCTTGCCATGCTCTATGCTTCTGCTGCAGTTTTGTTTTGTCGCTTGCTCATTCGATGCTACTGACGTCTCCGTTGTGATGCTGAGCTGGCTTTAAAATCTGGAGAGTTCTGTCTTGTTTTGACAACATGAGTCGCAACCGAGTATGGGCGTTATCTTGTGTGAAGGGGAGGGGAACTGTTCACCTCTCAGAGCACTTCCTGTCTGGCCAAGAGTTCTCTCAGAAAAGGAAGGCAGCCTCGCCTGGTTCTGTATTTTAAGGCTGACTCATAAGACTTTCTCAGCTTCCTCTGCCTCCATTTGTCCCCGTGCAACCTTCCTGCTGGTCACTGGAGGGGGAAAGCTATGCTTCCATGAGTCTCTTTTAATCAAAGGTCTAGTCTCAAATGGTTATATACTCCTTGTGGTGATTGCTGCTTGACAGGTAACCTGCACTTGCTCCAAGGACAAGTGAGGTTCGAAAACCGGAACTGATGTAGCATCCCTGTAGGTAAGGGGGAAAGTGTTACCTGGGGTAACCATAAGTAGGTTCCACCCAGCTTGTGAAATTTCAGCTCCCAATCTGAGGTGGCTATGGGTTGCCGACTCCAGATTGGGACATTCCTGGAGACTTGGGGGGGAAGAGCCTGAAGAAAGTGAGGTTTGGGGAGGGACCTCAGTGGGGTATAGTGCCGTAGGGTCTGCCCTCCAAAGCAGCCATTTCCTCCAAGGGAACTGATCTCTGTCCTCCGGAGACCGGTTACGATTCTGCGAGGTCTGCAGGGCCCACCTGGAAGCTGGCAACCCCAGCAGCACCGATAAGAAGCGATTTCATCACAGTTGCGCTACTGCAGTCCAAAGTGCCGTTTCCAGAGGAGTTAACTTATTTGCTCTTGGTTGCACTTTAACAGAGATATTCCACACAGTTCACTCAAGCCCCGAGGTGCCCATTCAAAGGGGTCAAGGAGGCATCACGCTGCACACAGGAATGACATGCACCGGGAGAGCATGTCTGCAAAGGCACTGCGGTGTAGGTGTACAGAGAGTGACGGCTCAAAGGCACAACGATAAAAGAGATAAAACAGACAGGACAAGAAAATCGGGCATAACCTAATCCCCCCCCAGTCTTTAGGGTTGCCAGCTCCGGATTGGGACATTTTGGGGGGCGTAGCCTGAGGAGGGGGACTTCAATGGGGGGTAGAATGCCACAGGGTCCACCTTCCAAAGCGTCCATTTTCACCAGGTGAACTGATCTCTGTCGCCTGGGGGATCTCCAGCTACCACCTGGGGGTTGGCAACCCTAGTCTTTAACGAAGGGGGCTCTTTGGCGCCTAAAAGAATGTGCAGACGACGGCGAAGACAGCCACGGCCAAGCCAGCCATCTTGAACACCAAGGACAGCAATCCACCTCCGGCAGAGTTGTCAGTCGGCCTTGTCCTCAGGGGCTTGATGATCCGGTCTTGCTGGGTCAGGATAGCTTTTCTGGCTCCGGACCATTTGCCCGGCCCTTGCAAGCGGTACTGAAAGGGTGTGCAGGGCCCCATGAGAACCTCCCAGGCCAGCTTGGGATTGGTGAGGGACAGCGACCCGATGCTGGGCTTCACCCCGATCTGAGAGGCCAGCTCGTCCATGTACTCGATGTAATCCACTTGGATGGTGTGGCGAGGGCTCCTCACGTACCTGAAAGAAAGGGGAAGCAGAGGGGGCTGAGCCGGGGAAACAACAGGACGTTGCAGGTGGTAGTGGCACGTATGGAGGTCTCCTCCTGGGGGGGGTTTCTCTAACGACTGTTCAGCTCCTCAGTGGAAAAGCAGGACAGCGATGCCTTGGGGACTATTATCTTGGGTCTCGTGCTAAAAGGTTTGCCCCGATGGACATTCCCTCCATTGTCACCTCAGCTCTGAAATTTTCAGTATTCTGCTTCTATGGCTTCTTCTCTCACTCCAGGTTCCGCCTCTTGTAGCCCAGAGTTTTGCATTGATGAGAACACCAATTTTATAGAAATAAAATCATAAATATTGCTCCCCACGGTCTAGTCACCCTTGGCTACCCACAACAGCAGCTGTCTTTCCGCTCATTCCCAGCTGACGACACAAGGCAAAGAAATGAAAATGGCATCGTTGCCTTTGGGTCGACCCGTCTCGGATTGGGGGCTGAAATTTCACAAGCTGGGTGGGACCGACTTATGGTTACCTGGTAACCCTTTCCCCCTTATCTACAGGGATGCTATGTCATTTCCATTTTTCCCTCCAGAAGGCCCAAGGTCGCAAATGTTGCCAGGCTGGCGTTTTTCCAACTGCGCCCGGTTAGGCAGCTGGCCCCTTACCTGTCTCACCCCGACCTAGCCATAGTAATCCATGCGACAGTCACCTCTAGACTTGATTACTGCAATTCGCTCTACTGATGTCTGTTGCCTACGGATCAGTTGTAACTCCAGGAGATCTCCAGGTCCCAACCAGAGGTTGGCAAGCATATGATACAGGAAAGTTGGGGGGGGGGGAATCCTCCCTCAGCATGTAGGGCTGCCAGGCCTCCTGCTATGGTGGATGCATCCTGACTGCAGCTGTCTTTGCTGTTGGCATTGTGTGTGAAACCATAGACTTTCCAGCAATTCCTAGAGCTACCCTATGTCACTTCCGGGGTTTTTCCCTGCAAGAGACGTAGCAGTGCATGTGATGTTATAGTCTCCCCCCCAACGTCCCTACACCTGAACCTCCCACCCATTTCCAGATATGGGACTCCCAAGCAGTGTTCCCTCTAAGCTGAGTTAGTCTGAGCTAGCTCACAGGTTTTTTTAGGCACGTCCACACTCCACCAGGATGGGAGGGGAACAACTTTTTTTTTTAATGACAGAGTTATATCTTTCTGCATTACTGGGAAGTCCCTCAAAGAGGCAGAGACTGTGACCATTGCCCATGGGTTGCCCTCACTTCAGTTTCCTGGTGATCGGTATGCAATCGTTGCATGGGGAGAGGCTGTGGCTCAGTGGCACAGCATCTACACGGCACACAGAAGGTGCCAGGTTCAATCCCTGGCATCTCCAGTTAAAGGAATCGGCAGTAGGTGATGTGAAAGACCTCTGCCTGAGACCCTGGAGAGCTGCTGTCAGTCTGAGTAGACAATGCTGACCTTGACGGATCAAGCATCTGATTCGGTAGAAGGCAGCTTCATCTGTTGTGGGGAGGGACCATGGCTCAGTGGTAGAACGTCTAACTTCGCATGCTGAAGGCCTCAGATTCAATCCACAGCATCTCCAACTGAAAGGACCAGGCAGTAGGTGATGGGAAAGACCTCAGCCTGAGACCCTGGAGAGTCGCTGCCAGTCCGAGCAGACAATACTGACTGTGATGGACCAATAGCCTGTTTCAGTACAAGGCATCTTCATATGTGATATGCAGTGTTCTCTGTAAGCTGAGTTAGTGTGAGCTAGCTCACAGTTTTTTTAGCCTCTGGCTCACACATTTTTGTCTTCGCTCAGGAAGGAGGGCTCCAGAGCAGACTGATCTATGCAGTAGTCAAATCGCTCGCTCACGACTTTAATGCCGGTAGCTCACAAAGAAGGATTTTGGCTCACAAGAACCCCCCCGCTTAGAGGGAACGTACTTAGAAGATTTCTCCCACCCTTTGCAGTTGTCCTTAGCAGAGTTGCCAGACCTTGGATGGGAAGTTCCTGGAGGATTTGTGGGTGAAACCTGGGGAGGGTGAAGACTGAGGAGGCGCGGGACGTCAGGAGGGTGCAAGGCCACAGACTTGGTAGGGTATCATGCCCTGCAGCCCACCTTCCAAAGCAGCCCTTTTCTCCAGGAGAAGTGGAATAAATGTTCTAAATACATCAAATAAATAATTGCTTTATGAAATTTGGAGATCGGAGGTCACTCCAGGAGATCTCCAGCCCTCCGACCTGGAGGTTGGCAACCCTCGTCCTTAGCAATGCTCCCTCTAAGCGGTGGAGTCTTGTGAGCAAACATTCTACTTTGTGAACGACTGGCATTAAAGCTGCGAGCGAGCGAATTGGCTCCTGCATCGATGAGTTTGCTCTGGAGCCCCATCCTTCCTGAGCTAAGACAAAAAGGTGTGAGCCGGAGGCTAAAAAACTGTGAGCTAGCTCACACTAACTCAGCTTAGAGGGAACAACTGGCCCCCAAAGAAGTACTTTTCTCCCTTTCTCACAATACAAGAACTCGTGGGCACTCAATGAAATTGCTGAGCAGTCGGGTTAGAATGGATAAAAGGAAGTCCTTCTTCCCCCAAAGAGTGATTGATACATGCAATTCACTGCCACAGGAGGTGGTGGCAGCTACAAGCATGGACGGCTTCAAGAGGGAATTGGATAAGCATGTGGAGCAGAGGTCCCTCAGTGGCTATTAGCCACAAGGTATAGATAGGAACTCTCGGCCTGGGGCAAGTGATGCTCTTTATTCTTGGTGCTTGGGGGGAGGCAACAGTGGGAGGGCTTCTAGTGTCCTGGCCCCACTGCTGGACCTCCTGATGGCACCTGGTATTTTGGGCCACTGTGTGACAGAGTGTTGGACTGGATGGGCCATGGGCCTGATCCAACATTGGCTTCTCTAATGTTCTTATGTTCTTATCGATACTATGATAATGGTGTGCACAGTTAACAGTTCCAGTTCAGCCCACTACATACCGTTTTTCCATGGCTGTTTTCTTTGCCGTGATATCTGATAACATTTCGCTTTCTGAAGGTAGCGTTTCAAGCCCTGGGGAACAAAAGCACAGGTTAAGAGGCAATGCTTTGAGGAGCAGAATGGAAGGCAGATGGAAAAACTGGACTGTGAAGTCAAGAGGCCTGCTCTGGAAAAACCCTGGTGGCTAGCATAGTGTAGTGGTTAAAGTGTTGGACTAGGATTTGGGAAATCCAGGTTGGAATCCCCACATGTGCCATGAAGCTCACTGGATAACCTTGGGCCACTCACACATAGAGTTTCCAGGTTCCTCCTGGCAACCCGTAGGGGATGGGGGGGGACTTACCAGGAGAAAGAGAAAGGCCTAGGCCTTGTTGCCAGTGTCACACAGGAAGTAACGTCATCACACTACAGACAACCGGGTGACACTCTGGTATTCGGGCAAAAATCCTATGGCAAAACTGGCTTCTACCAGAGAGTTTTTGTCCAAATACCAGAGCGTCATCTCGACATCACTGGCATGATGACATCACTTCCCGTGCAACACTGGTTATGAGGCCTAGGATTTCTCCTAGTAAGTCCCCCCACCAGCCAGCTGATTGGTGGCTGCAGGTAGGGCCTGGTGGGTGGGGGACCCCCACATCCACCAGGGGGTCTGGCAACCCTAGTCACACATAGGGTTGCCATGTCTTCCCTGGCTATCAGTGGGGGATGGGGGGAATAGGGTTGCCAAATTCAGGTTGGGAAACTCCTGGAGATTTGAAATGGTGCCTGGGGAGGACAGGAACCTCACTGAGGTACAACACCATGTAGTCCACCCTCCAAAACATCCATTTTCTCCACTGGTAGAACTGATCTGTGTAGTCTGGAGATGAGCTATAATTCCCCAACTCCCACCTGAAGCTGGCATCCCTAGACACTCTCAGCCTAACCTACCTCACAGGGTTACTGTGAAGATAAAAAGGAGGAAAGAAGAATGATGTAAGACACTTTGGGTCCCCACTGGGGTGAAAGGTGGGATATAAATAAAGTAAAATAAATATAAAATAAAATAAATTTTGAATGCTCATTAGCCAAAACCAATGGGGCTCAGATTCCCTTCACCTCTGAATGTAGGCTTTCTGTGCTTGACTAAGGTCACATTTGACGGTCCCCGGCAGCCAATTATTTCTCTAAGTATACTGGAACTAAAGGGGAAAGAACCAAGCAAAGAAGGATCGAGGCTACTCTGTTTTGGCTGTGAAGATCTCATTTCATCCAATGGGGCTCCAGAACTGAACTGAATACAGTCAGGAAGGGAACATCTACATGGGAGCTAAATGAGATCTGGGCCAAGCTCCTGTTCTTCCTCGGTTTGCAGGCATTTAGCATGGGTGCGGCCAGAGATACAAGGACTCTTGGTCCTCAGCTCTTAGTCCATGACTCCAAAGATTGAGGCTGTAAATCAGCCAAGGCCAACAGATCCAGGACTAGCCCAGGATCTAGTGGACCGTGTAGCCTGCTTGTTTTTAAAAATTCATTCATTTAAAACTACATTTTTCTGCAAACTGTATTACACTAGGTTACATTCTGTAAGTTGGGTTACTGACCTGCAGGTGGTGACTGGAGATTACGGATGGGCACGAACCAGGAAAATGTGGTTCAGTTCATGGCTGAACCGTGAACCTAATCACGAACTGAACTGGGAAGCTTGTTTACAAATTGAACCGGTTCATGGTTCATGGCCTTGCAAACCACATTGAAAGTCTGTAGCCCGCTTCTTTTTTAATATTCATTCATTTAAAACTACATTTTTCTGTAAACTGTATTACCATAGGTTATATTCTGTAAATTGGGTTACTGACCTGCAGGTGGTGACTGGAGATTACGGATGGGCACGAACCAGGAAAATGTGGTTCGGTTCATGGCTGAACCGTGAACCTAATCACGAACTGAACTGGGAGGCTTGTTTACAAATTGAACCGGTTCATGGCCTTGCAAACCACATTGAAAGGGACCGCAGTCTCTTTAAAAGGAGTTTGCAGAAAGCCCAAAAAATAGCTGTGCCTCTCAGCTGTTTTTGGGCTGTCTTCTGCAGTCCCTTTAAATTTTAAAAGGATTGCAGAAGACAACCTGAAAACAGCGGCGAGCAGAAAGGGGCTGAGCTCCCCAGAAGGAACTTCCCTCCCACCTTCCTGCTGGCTGCAGCGACACCCAGCTAGCAGAAAGGGGGGGAGATCTCCCAGAAAGGGACTTCCCTCCCACCTTTCTGCTGGCCGTAGTGAGCCCCTGCTAGGAAAGAGGTGGGAAGGATGATCTCCCAGAGAGGTAGTTTACCACATTAAACCTTGCTTTCTGCTCTCTGTGGCTATTCGCAGGGAGCAGAAAGCAGGAAGACAACCTGAAAACAGCGGCGAGCAGAAAGGGGGTGAGCTCCCCAGAGGGAACTTCCCTCCCACCTTCCTGCTGGCTGCAGCGACACCCAGCCAGAAGAAAGGGGGGGGGGGGATCTCCCAGAAAGGAAGGGACTTCCCTCCCACCTTTCTGCTGGCCGTAGTGAGCCCCTGCTAGGAAAGAGGTGGGAGGGATGATCTCCCAGAGAGGTAGTTTACCTGTTCCAATTAAACCTTGCTTTCTGCTCCCTGTGGCTATTCGCAGGGAGCAGAAAGCAGGGCCATTTAAACCCCTGTTTTCTCTCCCCATGGAAAGCCACAGGGAGCAGAAAGCAGTGGTGGTTTAAATGGCTCAAACCATTTTGTGCCCAAAATTCATGCTTTGTCCTGATTCTTCCATTCATGAACTTCAGTTTGCAAATCCCGAACAGGCCAAAATTCGTGATGAACTTTAGTTTATCAGCTGGTTTGTGCCCATCCCTACTGGAGATTTCCTGGGATTACGACTGATCTCCAGGCAATAGAAATCAGGTCACTCAGAGAAAATGGTTGTGTTGGAAGGTGCATCCTGTAGCATTGTACCTTGCTGAAAACCTTCCCCTGCCCAAACCCCGTCCTTTCCAGTCTCCACCCAGAAAATCTCCAGGTATTTCTCAATCTGGAGTAGGCAACCCTATCTGTAATTGTTGGGGAGAAAAGAGGGATAAAAATATCCAAAAATAAATACTGGTAGAAATCAAGCAGTTGTCATGTCCAGCCAAGGCTCAAGGCCCATTTGTGATTATGGTTCTCTCCTAAAGCCAATATGATTCACAGTCCATAAGAAGCCCATTCAGAAGAGGTATGAAAGAGCTTACCCTTAAACACGCGAGATGCCCAGCGGGCCTGCATTTCTGAAATGGGCATGATGGCCCCCAGAGGCTGGACGAGGCCAATGATAGCCAGGGTCGGCTTCTCCAAGTGAGGTGGGAAGACGAATTTATACAAGGTGACCTGGTTATTAGTTACTGGGAGGGCATTCCCAAGGAAGGGGAAAGAGAAACTGTATCCCGTGGCAAACACGATAAAATCTATATCTTCTTCCTTTGAGCCGTCTTCAAAGATGGCAGCCCTTTCGGTTAATTCTTTGATGTTCGGTTTCACTTGAACTTTCCCGGAAATGATTCGGTTTGGCAGCTCATCATTGATAGTTGGATGCTGGCTGAGGAATCTGCAGGGCATTAAAAACACAAACACCCAAATTCAGTGACAAAGCCAGCCACTGCCCCATCTGGTCTGCCTTCCATAGTGTTAATTTCAATTGCCCTGTCGGGGCAGTGGGCAGGGCCACCTTTTTGTTGAAGGGAAACAGCACAGTTCTGATTGCCCCTTTATGTATTTGGGAGAGACGGATTGGGAGAGCCAGTGTGGTATAGTGGTTAAGAGCATTGGACTAGGATCTGGCTGACCCGAGTTTGAGTACCCTCTTGTGCCCTGGAAGCCCGCTGGATGATCTTTGTCTAGTCACACACTCTCAGCCTAACCTATCTCACAGGGTTGTTGTGAATATAAAATGGAGGAGAATAATGTGGGAGCACATCCAGACTTTGCTAAAGTCACTGCACTGGCTACCAATAGTGTTCCGGATCCACTTCAAGGTGCTGGTTTTGACCTTTAAAGCCCTTTATGATCGGGCCTGCCTACCTGAGGGACCGCCTTTCCCCGCATGTTCCCCAGAGAGCACTGCGATCTGGTACACAAAACCGCCTGGCCCCCCTTGGCCTAGGGACGCCAGGTTGGTGACGACTAGGACCAGGGCATTCTCCCTGGTGGTGCTGATGCTCTGGAATGAACATCACAACGAGATCAGAGCCCTTCGGGACCTCCAGCAATTCCACAGGGCCGTGAAAACGGAGCTTTTTCACCCGGCGTTCCAGTAGGAGAGACCCTATATCGACCGTGCTGCACTTGCACTTTATTATACGACACGCTATATTTAAATGGTTTTAACTGTATTTATTTAATTGGAAATGAGCTGAGCTATTTTATTGAGTTGTATTTTATGTATGTATTTATGCTGGTTTTATAATTGTTGTAAGCCGCCCTGAGCCGCTTCGGCAGGAGGGCGGGATAGAAATCTAACGAATAAATAAATAATGAAAGCTGCGTTGCGTCCCCCTTGGGGGAAAAGGCAGGGTACAAATTGAGTAAATGAAAATAAATTAATGGGGGCGGGGGAATTAAAGGGGAGCAATAGCCAACGTTTCCTGAAGTGGCAAGGCTTTCCTGCAGGGAAAAGAAAACTCTTAGGAATATTCACAACTTGTCGGGAATGGGTGAAAAAGACTAGACCTGGACTCTTTGGATTCCGGGGGTTGAGGGCAGCGCCATGCTCAACCCTAACTTTCAAAAATTGCTCAGACAGGAGGACTTGACTCTTGTTCAATGTTCCCTCTAAGCTGTGGAGTCTTGAGAGCAGAAATGCTACTTTGTGAGCTGCTGGCATTAAAGTTGTGAGCAAGCAATTTGGCTACTGCATAAATCAGTTTGCTCTGGAGCCCTTCTTCCTGAGCTAAAGCAAAAATGTGTGAGCTGGTGGCTAAAAACCTGTGAGGTAACTCACACTAACTCAGCTTAGAGGGAACACTGCTCTTGTTGCATCTACTATTGGGTTCACTCGCACTTTTTCCCGGTCCGCCCCAGGTAGGGGTGGACTGGGAGACAAAAGCAACCCTGGAAAAGGACCCCTGCCCACTGGACAGAGGGGTATAAAGAGCACACTGCCCGCTTTGTGCCGGCTCATGGCGACAGTGGCTCCTACCCTCTTGCGTGGGGCCACCCTGCATAAAGCAAGTCTCACCTTGCCTGGCGTCTTGGTGGTCTTAATGGCCCTGACCCCCCCAAGGTTCTATCAAATCAGGCATGTACTGCAGATCCTGTGTTCTGAATTCCCAACCAGAAAATGACAGCCAGAGGAGACGAAGCCCGCCACAAAACCCTTGACGAGTGAGGTCATATGTAACAGTCACATGCAACTTTTCAACATTTCAGGCAGAAACTCCGTTTAACAAGTAAAACAAGGAGTTGCTGGGCGGATACAATGCATTGCCGCGTCCATACCTGTGTTGAGGCTTCAGGCCATAGTGAGAATGGTTAAATCTTTCATTCAGCCTGTTTTCCACCCAGTTGTTTACGATGTACGGGAGCAAAAACTGCTTCAACAACAGATTGAAACGGGTGGAAAACACCACATCTCCTGGGTAGCCTTTGTCACCGACACGATTCAAGATCCACGCCCCTCGGCGAGTGCTGAGGAAGACCTGGGGAAGACACCCACACAGTTCTTTAAGCTACTGCTCTCAATAGAGACCACTGCTTTCTTGATGCTCCTTTTCTACCTGCCATTTCCCCAGGAAGCATGGGATCACCTGGCATCGGCTCTCGGATAGAGATCAAGGCCGGTGGAGCTCAGTGTCGTCAGATCGTTTGGAAAGGCGAATGCAATTTGTGCATGATGGAGTCATTTCTTTGAACCACTTTTCTGCACTTTATCCATTTATACAAGACTAGAAATAAGGCCCGTTGTGGAAATAAATACAACGGGATCTAGAAAGAGGCTCTGGGAGAGTACTCTAGCTTTGGGCAAACAGTGTCAGTCTGCTTTTAAAACATGAATCTGGGACCTGCACACCACCAGAATACAGCAGATTCCATATGCAACTGACATTCCAACTGCCTTGCGGGTGGGGGGGGGAGTTTGAGGTGTGGAATGGAGTGAAGTCCAATCAGCTTCCATATGCAAAAGACCAGGTTGTCGCAGCAGTTGTGGTGTGGGCGGGACCCGGGCTTTGCCTTCTGATTGGTGGCGATATATGCTGAGGAGCAGTGCCATCAGCCATACACTAAGGGAGTGCATTTTAGAATTAGAACCTTGGCACCCTCCCCCCCACTTGTGTGCCCTGCTGCCCACTTGTGAGCATGCCGTGACCCACATCTCCCAGCCACATGTGCCACCCTGCATCATCGAGAATGGTTATGCCGGCAAGGCTGCTAACCTCCAGGTGACACCTGGAGATCTTCCGCTATTACCATCGATCTCCAGACGTCCAAGATCAGTTCCCCTGGATAAAATGACCGCTTCGGAGGCTGGACTCTATGGTATTGTACCCTGCTGATGTCCCTCCTCTCCCCAAACCCCGCCCTTTCCAGGCTCCACCCCCAAAATCTCCTGGTATTTCCCAGCCCAGAGCTGGCAGTCCTACATGTAGAAAGTGTGGTCAGCTGTGAGTGTGGGCAGTGGGAGGCCTGGTGGCGAGCCGAGGAGGGGAGGAGGACCCCAGGCATCCTCTGACCGGTGGCACTCCCTGCCCGGGGTCCCCCAAAGCCTAAAACCAGCCCTACTGTCCTAAATGCAGCTGCTCAAGATGGGAGAGGGGAGCACAGGAATTGCAGAGTGGAAGAAACAGTTGGGAGACCCCGCCCTATAGTCCAGTACTGGGACATCCCAGGCACAACAATCAAATGCTGTGGCACAACTGCCCTATGCAATGGTCCCCCCTAGTCTTGTGAACAAAAATTCAAGCATTAAAGTTGTGAGTGAGCATTACTGGCATTAGAGTTGTGAGTGAGCGATTTGGCTACTGCATAAATTAGTTTGCAATAAATTATCTTTCCTGAGTGAGCAACTTGGCTACTGCGTAAATCAGTTTGCAGTAAATCATCTTTCCTGAGCAAAGACAAAAATGTGTGAGCCGGAGGCTAAAAAAATGTGAGACAGCTCAAACTAACTCAGCTTAGAGGGAACACTGACAACCAATGCTCCCTCTAAGCTGTGGAGTCTTGTGAGCAAGAATTTAACTTTGTGAGCTACTGGCATTAAAGCTGTGAGCGAGCGATTTGGCTACTGCATAAATTAGTTTGCTCTGGAGCCATCCCTTCCTGAGCTAAGACAAAAATGTGTGAGCTGGAGGCTAAAAAACTGTGAGCTAGCTCACACTAACTCAGCTTAGAGGGAACACTGCTGACAACCAGTATAGCGGATCACTGAGGCCCCACTGTAAGAAGAGGAAAAGAGATTGGATTTATACCCCACCCTTCACTACCCAAAGGTGTCTCAGAGCAGCTTACAAACTCCTTTCCCTTCCCCTCCCCACAACAGGCACCTTGTGAGGTAGCTGGGGCTGAGAGAGCTTTTTCGAGGACTGCTCCTGAGAGAACAGCTCTGAAAGAACTTGTGACTGACCCAAGGTCACACCAGCAGCTGCATGGGGAGGAGTGGGGAATCAAACCTGGTTCTCCCAGATTAGAGTCCGCGCACTGAACCACTACACCAAACTGGCAGCCCTAACTACCACCTGAGCAAGGATACCCCACTCTGAAAGCTAGACCTGTTCTGCCGTGTGGCTGATCTCCACAGCAAGGTCCCCGCCTGAGTTCCCGATGCCGATCACGATGACTCTCTTTCCTGTGAACTCGTTAGGGTCCTTGTAATCACGGCTGTGGAAGTAGCGTCCTTGGAATTTTTCTATCCCTGTAAGCAGACACCCAGATTGTTAGAGTTCATTATAGGTCGATGTATGTTGATGCTACAGTTTATTCTTACGTGCAGCTTGACACATCTCGGGCAGTGTCACAAATGGTCGGGGCACTGTCGAGTAAGTTTTTTTAGTTGTTTTGTTGCAACTGGGCATATGGAAGAGGAAGAAGAGAAAGAGGAGGAAGGAGGAGGAGGAGGAGGGGTTGGTTCTTATACCCCACTCTTCACTACCCGAAGGAGTCTCAGAGTAGCTTACAATCTCCTTCCCTTCCTCTCCCTACAACACACACCCTGTGAGGTAGGTGGGGCTGAGAGAGCTCTGAGAAGACTGCGACTGACCCAAGGTCACCCAGCTGGCTGCATGTGGAGGAGTGGGGACTCAACCCCCATTCTCCACATTAGAGTCCGCCACTCTTAACCACTACACCACTCTGGCTCTGCCTTAAGAAGCAAATGGGGAAAGATAAAAAGAAACAGAAAACAAAGACGAATACTGTTACAGTCTTCATAACTCTGAAATGTTACATAGATAGATAGATAGATAGATAGATAGATAGATAGATAGATAGATAGATAGATAGATAGATAGATAGATAGATAGATAGATAGATAGATAAGAAATGTATTGTATGTAGCCAAAGGCCATCACAATAAAAGGTTAAGAGCATAATGATAAAAGTATTCAAGCAGAACTAAGATCAGCATTAAAATACGGGATATGAGACAATATACAGGAACAAATTAATGTTAGATTACAAAGATTAAATACAATCAGGAGTTAACGTATATAGCACCGGAGTAATTATTTGACCAGTCAAGGTATTTATTGACTCACACTGAACTCTGCTTAAAACAGTTTTGGTCACATTCTGAGAAGTCAAAGCTCACTGCAAAAGACAATCATGCTTGGAAAAGTCGAAGGCAGCGGGAAAAGAGGAAGACCCAACATGAGTCTGCAATAGCTGGGCAAGGCTGTTAAAGATAGCATGTTAATTCGTAGGGTGGCCGTAAGTCAGAAGGGACTCGACAGCACATCACACACGTGCACAGGTGGAACTGCACGAAGTAGCCTCTTTGCCGTTTAGGGTCAAGACATCAGGCAGAAAAGGAGAAATACTTTTCAGAGGTTCAACAAGGGAGGTCCACCAGGACAACGACTGCTGGTTTTGGGGAGAAGGCCAACAGATTGCACAAACAGATCCTGGCACGGCAGCAAGAACTATTGCCCCAGAGTGAAGTCACAGGAAACCTTCGCAGGCTGCACAAAGGTGGCAGACAGATGTGGTGGCTAATTACATCATTCGAGTATGCCTGATGCTCTAGGTCATAGGTTCTGAGCTGCCGCCATGATTCTGATCCTTCTCCTGTGCGAAGGCAAACTAGGTCACCACGGATGTTCTTAGCTGCCGCCATGATTCTGATCCTTCTCCTGTGCGAAGGCAATTTCGTCTCCAAGGTCACTCCCACATACAATCGGCAAAACGGCACACCCTTGTGCCTTTTTGATAAGGAAGCCTTAAGTGCTACACCACTGCTTGGAGGGCATTTCCCCTCAAGGGCCAGTAATCAGCTTCATTCTGATATAGATATGCAGGGCTTTTTTTGTAGAAAAAGCCCAGCAGGAACTCATTAGCATAATAGGCCACACCCAACAACAGAAACTCATTAGCATATGCAGCCACACCCATGAGAGCATAGCTCATTAGCATATTAGGCCCCACCCCATGTTACCAGAAGTATAGTCATCCAGCCACACCCACTTTTTGCTTCTTATTCTGTTTACCTTGTTTGTTGTCAAAACCTAGGGCTTTTTTTGTAGCAGGGACTCCTTTGCATGTTAGGCCACACCCCTAATGTAGCCCTAATGAGTTTCTGCTGTTGGGCGTGGCCTATTATGCTAATGATTTCCTGCTGGGCGTGGCCAACTTGGGAGCCAGCCGGAACTCCGTTCCTGTGCGTTCCTGCCCAAAAATAGCCCTGTAAGATATGCATGGACTCTCCTGGATCTCAAGTGAGCTTCTAGTGTGACAAGGACAGGCCCGTAGCTACAGTGGGACCTCCTGCCCCCCCCCCAACTTCCTGTCAAGGTCCTATGACTTTGGGGAAGGGGGGGGAAGCCACATGTACAGCTACACTCCAAGCCGCGAATTCATGGATTGGAGTGCAGGTGCACAGCCTCCCCCACTTCTTCCCAAAAGCATTTAAAGGGACCCATTAAATGTTTTGGGGGGGAAGCAGGGCCATGCGCCTCCACTCCAAGCTGCGAATTTCAGTGCCCCCCGACTTTTTAAAAGGCCCCCAAATTAAAAATTCCTGGCCACGGGCTTGGACAAGGACCTTATTAAACACATACGGAAGCAAAGCTAATCCAAAGGAGACCCACAATTGGTCCTCATGCATGCCATACATAAACAGAGGAGACCCTTTAAATGCTTTTGGGGGAGAAGCGAGGGCTATGTGCTTGCACTCCATGCTGTGAATTCGGGGATTGGCGTGCAGGTGTGCGTGGCCTCCCCCCACTTCTTCCCAAAAGCATTTAAAGGGACCCATTAAATGCTTTGGGGGAAAAGCAGGACTACGCGCCTCCACTCCAAGCTGCGAATTTCAGTGCCCCCCGACTTTTTAAAAGGCCCCCAAATTAAAAATTCCTGGCCACGGGCTTGGACAAGGACCTTATTAAACACATATGGAAGCGAAGCTAATCCAAAGGAGACCCACAATTGGTCCTCATGCATGCCATACATAAACGGGGGGACTTGCAGTGAGATAACAGAACTGGACTAGAGAGGCATGGCTTCGTTAGATCTACCGATGATACAAATCCCATTCCTGTCCTGCCTGTGAAATGGGCGTGAAATTCCAACCAGACCCTCTTACTTGGAATGAATCAGTGGAAATCCTTGAGGTTTAAGATCCTCTGCTGTTATGCTTCTTTATTATTATTTGTACCATGAGGATTTCTGGAATGATTAGACCTCTGTGGATGAGTGGCACTTATCACCAAATTGTCAGATGACTGACGTTACTCTGGTATGGCTGTTTGGGGGAGGGGGTGACTGAGATGTGTGGATGAAAAATGGGCCTTCCTTCTCATTTAGCAGTAAACCTAGTAAAACCTATTTGCCAAATTTCAGAGAGATTACTTAGTACTGTAAGGAAGACACGTGTACCCTAGATACCTGTCATTATGAACGAGCCCTACTGTCCAACTCTCCATCATTTGTTTCCTAGAGAGCACATGAGATTACTGTACAAAATTAGGCCTGATTCTGGCCTCTCTCTGGTGCTCAGTCTTAGTATTGTAGTTGCCCTAAAGCTGGTTTTCTAGATCTCAAGGGAATGCTGGAGATCTTTGCACCAAGATGGAAGATGGCAGCCTGTCGGAAATGGCAATCTCTGGTGTACAAAGAAGAAGAGAAGAAGACCTTGCAATGGGCGGCAAGAAGACAATTAGATAGGATCATGAGGTCAGCACCTTCTCTCCTGTTAAGTGTCACTCCTTGTCTGTCTCCAGATTGCTACTCTGAAGTGTCAGACTCGGTCTTACCCTCTCTCTCAGCTAGAGATGTAGTTAGGAACCGATCTCTGTCTCTCCTCTTTCCTACCAAGCAGGGCTATTTTTGGGCAGGAACGCACAGGAATGAAGTTCCGGCTGACTCCTGAGGTGGCCACGCCCAGCAGGAACTCATTAGCATAATAGGCCACACCCAATAGCAGAAACTCATTAGGATTGGCTACATTAGGGGTGTGTGGCCTAACATGCAAAGGAGTTCCTGCTACAAAAAAAGCCCTGGGTTTTGACAACAAACAAGGTAAACAGAATAAGAAGGGAAAGGTGGGTGTGGCTGGATGACCACACTTCTGGTAACATGGGGGTGTGGCCTAATGTGCTAATGAGCGGTGCTGTCAGAGTGTGGCCTAATATGCTAATGATTTTTGCTGTTGGGTGTGGCCTATTATGCTAATAAGTTCCTGCTGGGCTTTTTCTACAAAAAGAGCCCTGCTACCAAGTATGTTAATTCCTAAATAAACCTGTATCTACTCTTTAAACAGATTGTGCACTGTTGCTGTGTCAATTACTCTGCCAGTACAGCCAACAAAACGGAAGCTCAATTGCAACACAATGCCTCTTTAATTCTAATCTGTTTGGCCTTCAGTTGGAAAGTAAATCCAGGTCTAAGCAATGGAAAGAAAGCAATGCCTTCTTTCATCAGAGAACAGAGACGGTAATTCAGAAGCTCACACCTCCAGCAAGGGATGCAAGACTGGTTGGACCTGCCTGATGTCAACAGAGGAGTTAACCCTTTCTTTTCTGGTGTCCTGACATTGCACAATAATGGTAAGGGCAGTATATGGATTCCAGTAGCAGCATTTGGCTTCTAGATTCTGATGCTTGCAATGAAACTCTGCTCTGTTGTCCCACTCTGTGATAGAGCTGGGGAGATTCACTTCCTTGGTGAGTGTATACCATACCTGGAAAAGTGTCCAGTGGCATGTGTGCAGTGGTGTGGTGGCCAGTGCAAACCATGACTGCATCAAAAATCGATGACTCCTGTTTTCCATCAGTCTCTACGACAACATCCCACTGGCCGGTGCTAGCAAAATCTGGGCGCCTTGTCGCACTGCAGACTTTAGTCTGAAACCAGGCAGGAAGGAATAAGACAGAGATAGAGGCAGCACTCCGAAGAACAAGTATTTGTGCCTGATCTTAGTGTACGCCTTTGAACAAAGTACAAATATGTCTCTAGGCTACTACAGAACTAGGCATCAGATCATTTCCTTCTTGAACAAATCATTCTAGGACTTGTAATCAGCCCTCTTGCAGGCCACAATTAATAATGATTCAAGGAAATTTTGGGCCTTGGTAGCCGAGTCCATGGGAAGAAAGGGGTCAGTAAACAACTTAGTTACAGCCGACGGCTGGTACAATTATTTCACAATGATTTTCCCGGAGACCAGGCACAATGCCGAAGAGGAGTTTGACATTTGTCTGGACGACTGCTCCAGTTGGGCCCCTGTGCAGATTGAGGAGACTAAATCTTTAATTGCAGCCCTTAAATTGGGAAAAGCTCCAGGGCCTGATGCTATTCCACCTGAGGCTATTAAGGCTTTTTCCTCAGTGGTGGGCCCCCTTCCTAGCAGCCCTGTTTACAGCCTTAGATCGGTCTGGTGCAATACCAGATGACTGGAAGAACGCCATATTAGTCCTGATCTTTAAAAAAGGTGATCCTCAGCTCCCAAATAATTACAGACCGATCAGTCTCTTATCCATTATGGGGCAGATATATGCCAATCACTTAGCCGATAAACTGAAATCTTGGATATCAGACCAGCAAATTTTGGGGGCGGAGCAAATTGGCTTCTGTCAGGGCAAGTCAACCCTAGATCACTGCATCGTTCTCAGTCATCTAGTAAATAAATATAGGAAATGGAAAGGACCTAAATTATACACAGCTTTCTTAGATCTCAAGGGAGCTTTTGATTCAGTGCCCAGGGTTATCTTGTGGAGGAAACTGAATAATATGGGGATTGATAAATGTCGCCTCTTTTTGGTAAAAAAAACTCCACTCAGAAACTACTTGCCAGGTGAGATACTCAAAAGAAGGCAACCTAACGCCACAAATTGCTATTTCAGTGGGTGTCAAGCAAGGTTGTATCCTGGCCCCCATATTGTTCAATCTCTTTTTGAATGATCTGGCACCCTTTATGAGTGGTGTTAATGGTAATTTCCCCAAGCTGGGAGTAAGACATTGCCCGTTATTGTTATATGTCGATGACGCTGTCCTTCTGTCACTTTCAAAGGTTGAGATGAAAAGGATGCTAATGCACTTTTCAGTATATTGTGATAAGAACTTACTGTCCCTCAATTTTGATAAGTCAAAAATTATTGTGTTTGGTTGGAGTTGGAAACCCTCTAAATAGACTGTGTACAGCTTGGAGTGTAGCTGTACACGTGGCCTCCCCCCCCCTTTCCCCAAAGTCGTAGAATTGGCTACATTAGGGGTGTGTGGCCTAAAATGCAAAGGAGTTCCTGCTACAAACAAGCCCTGGGTTTTGACAACAAACAAGGTAAACAGAATAAGAAGCAAAAGGTCGGTGTGGCTGGATGAGCACACTTCTGGTAACATGGGGGTGCGGCCTAATGTGCTAATGAGCTGTGCTGTTGGGGGTGTGGCCTAATATGCTAATGAGTTTCTGCTGTTGGGTGTGGTCTATTATACTAATGAGTTCCTGCTGGGCTTTTTCTACAAAAAGAGCCCTGCCGATAGCCAAAGTACACCTTGAACACAAGCCACCCTCCTTTTGCACAGCAGCACTTTCTACCCCACTGAGTTATGTGGTAGAGTGGAGTAACTTGTGCACAAGTCAGCCTTCGCACAGTGTCTTTCCGCTGCCAAGATGGCACAGGAAACCAACTAGCTATGCTAATGCCATGCCAGGGACAGCAAAATGCTTGTAGTAGGGATTTAGGATTGGGCTGTCTATAGTCTGTGCCATCTCCTACTAGAACTTCTTACCCTGAAGCGGACGTACTTCAGAAGGTCAAAATGCTTGGCGTACTGCCGGAAGTATTCCATGATCTTGGAGTTGGGCATGTAGTTGGGGTAGTCATCTGGGATGGGGTAGTCACTGAAGCACATCATCTCTTTGGAGGTGTTGATGATCACAGATTTGTAAATGCTGGCTCTGTCTTCTTCAGGATTCTCCTGCAAAAGATATTTTTTCAAGGTTTCTCCGGCCAGCAACCCCTGCTTCCCACATCCACTCCTTTAGCTGGCAGGAAAACAATTACATTAACAAAGAGCTGTCAATTCAACGGCATGACATCATCTACAGGGAAACCCCTGAAGTGGTGTCATGCCACTCTAGGAATCACCAGGAACTCTATGGTTTTCCAATACAGTCTCCAGCAATTCTTAAGAGTGGTGTGACGACACTTCTGGGTTCCCCCTAGAAGTGACATCACGCGGCCATGCTGACAGAGCCCCCCATGTCCCTGCCCCCATTGCCACTGGTTGGCAAACCTGCCCTCTACTCCCCTTTAAATTTGGCAGCCGAGATACAATTTGTCATCCCACCAGTGGGACCTGGTAGCAGACAAGGGAGCAGGAGTCACCACCGTCATCACTGTAAATCACAAAAGAAATAAGGATTTGGCAGCCGAGATACAGAGCAACGTGTCATCCCACAGGTGGGACCTGGTAGCAGACAAGGGAGCAGGAGTCACCACCGTCATCACTGTAAATCACAAAAGAAATAAGGAGTAGGATCCGTCTGCAGCTAAGAAAGGGCTGCAGGAAAGTGCCTGTAATGCAGTGGTGACACCCCTCCTGGAAAAGTCCTCATTAGATGAGAGGGACCAAGCCAATTACCACCCAGTATCTAGTCTTCTCAGTAGTGGCCTCTCTCCTGTGGAACCAGCTGCCCGAAGAGGTGCATGCCTTGCGGGACCTCCCACAGGGCACAGAAGGCTGCTCTTTTTCAGGTGGCCTTTGGGTGATTGTGATCCACCAGGCGGCTGGTATATTTCACCAACAAATAACGAGAAAGCTGCAATCGTGCAAATGCGCTTATATTCTAACAACTGTGTACTTAAGTTAATACAGTAATACAAAGTTACAAAATACAACAATTTACAATTTCTGTAATATTCCAATCCTAGTTGTTCAAGATGTTGATGAGATTCTCCGGAGTAGAACCTTCGTTTCGTGAGAACTTTCTCCAAACATTAAGTACCTTTTATAAAAATACAAATTACAACGTGTGATAATTAACTCATCTTTGTTGTAATTTGTATTTTTATAAAAGGTATGTAATGTTTGGAGAAAGTTCTCGCGGAACGAAGGTTCTACTCTGGAGAATCTCGTCAACATCTGGAATGGAACATCTAGGATTGGAATGTTACAGAAATTGTACATTGTTGTATTTTGTAATTTTGTATTACTGTATTAACTTAAGTACACAGTTGTTAGAATATAAGTGCATTTGCATGATTGCAGCTTTCTTGTTATTTGTTGGTGACCATAAGTGCTGCACACACACCCCTGTAGGTTGGCTGGTATATTTCAGCTGTGTCTTCACCATCCATGCATCCGACCCTGTTTGATTTTAACAGGGATAGATATTTCAACCGCTTCATATTTTAAGGATAATTTATTATACCTTTGTATTGTTTTTATTGGTGTGGGTTTTTTGCTGTTAGCCGACCTGTCTTCACCATCCATGCATCCGACCCTGTTTGATTTTAACGGGGATGGATATTTCAACCGCTTCATATTTTAAGGATAATTTATTATACCTTTGTATTGTTTTTATTGGTGTCTTTTTTTTGCTGTTAGCCGCCCTGAGTCTTCACCATCCATGCATCCGACCCAGTTTGATTTTAACGGGGATAGATATTTCAACCGCTTCATATTTTAAGGATAATTTATTATACCTTTGTATTGTTTTTATTGGTGTCTTTTTTTTGCTGTTAGCCGCCCTGAGTCCCGTTCGGGAGAGTGGGAACGGGATATAAATTTGATAAACAAATAATTCCCTTCCTTCCCGTCCCTCATCATAGAGCTGTAGTGGAGCGAACGCCCACCAGCACGATCTCCCGCCAGAACGATGAATGGACCCATCAAGATGTACCTTGAACCGCCAGAGTCCCCCGATATCATCGCTGCTCTCAAAGCAGACAGGCTCCAGGCCTTCATCCAAGCAGCATTTGACGCTGCAAAGTCCGCTGGAGCCGCCTCCTATAATGGCCACTCTCTTCTTCGCCATGGTCCTTCTGAAATTTCAGGGCCGGGTCTAGAAGGATTTTTTTTTTAAAAAAAGTTTTGTTTCACCAAACGATAGATCTCTTTATAACTTGAATCTGTCCAGCCTGAAACATTTGGGCCTTGCTTAAAGCATGACAAGCAGATTGCTTTACCCAGGGGTCATTTCATAGAAAAAGAGGTAAAGGTAAAGATTTCCTTGCTCGAAAGCCAGTCGAATCCGACTCTAGGGTTGCGGTGCTCATCTCCGTTTCAAAGCCAAAGAGCCAGCGCTGTCTGAAGACATTACCGTGGTCATGTGGCCGGCATGACTAAACACCAAGGCTCACGGAACGCTGTTACCTTCCCACCGAAGTAGTACCTATTTATCTACTTGCAATTTCTTGCTTTCGAACTGCTAGGTTGGCATTGCCGGAAGTGTGTCAGAGGGCAACACCCCCCGCTCAGACTCCACTGGACTGTTTTGGATTGCTAGCTATTGGGGGGGGGGGATGCAGATCTGTCACCACAGAGGAGGGAAAGCTTGTACCTGAATAAAACTTGGTCTTAAAGGTGCCACTGGACTGTTTTGGAGGGGGGGTGGGGGGCCACCCTCTGCAACTTACCTGGCTGCTTCTTGCTCTGACTGAGAGCTGCTGGGAGCAGGGGGTGGGGCTAGTTGCATGTGCTCGCCGCCTGGGCTCTTTACTGCTGGAGGTCCGCTCCTGTGCGCTCCTGCAGGAAATGACCCCTGGCTCTACCACTGAGCCATACTCAGATACTTTGGGCACTGAGGCTGTGACACTTCATGGCTGGGTTCCTGCTCATGCTCCCCAATCGATTGTGGCAGAAAGTTTTATATACTAGAGCTAGGGCTGCCAGGTTCCCAACCCCGGGCCACTGGCTGGAGACAGGAGGGACTTGTTTTTACCATCTGTTCCAGCTTACACAGTGAATTACGGCATGACCTGGCAACCCTGCACCAGTGTTCCCTCTAAACTGAGTTAGTGTGAGCTAGCTCACAGTTTTTTAGCCTCCGGCTCACACATTTTTGTCTTAGCTCAGGAAGGATGGCTCCAGACCAAACTAATTTATGCAGGTGTCAAATCGCTCGCTCACAGCTTTAATGCAAGTAGCTCACAAAGTAGAATTTTTGCTCACAAGACTCCACATCTTAGACAAGACTCCGCAGCTTAGAGGGAGTATTGCCCTGCACCCTGCAAAATGTGCAACGTCAACAATGACCCATACTACTTCCCCTCCAGGCCCCAAAACTTGTAAAATGGCCTGCCTTTGTCCTTCTGCAAACTATGTAAAACAGACTTGTGCACAAGGGCTTTTCTACAAACAAAATAAGGCTACAGGGGGGGGGAGAGAAGAAGAAGGAAAGGGGGGAGAAGAAGAAGAAGCAGGAGGAGGAGGACTGGATTTATACCCTGCCTTTCACTTGGAGCAGCTTACAATCTCCTTCCCTTCCTCTCTCCAGAACAGACACCCGATGAGGTAGGTGGGGCTGAGAGAGCTCTGGGAGAACTGGTCTTGAGAGAAACAGCTCTGAGAGAACTTGTGACTGACCCAAGGTCACCCAGCTGGCTGCACGTGGAGGAGTGGGGAATCAAACCCGGCTCTCTGGAGTAGAGTCCACTGCTCTTAACTACTATACCAAATTGGCTGCCAGCTGGCTGCCAGGTGGAATGGCATTGCATAACCCAATCTCGTTAGATCTTGAAGGCTAAGTAAGGTTGGTACTTGGATGAGAGACCACCAAGGAAGACTTTGCAGAGGAAGGCAATGGCAAACCATTTCTGCTAAGTCACTTGCCTTCCATCCTTCCTGAATAAGACAAAAATGTGTGAGCTGGAGGCTAAAAAACAGTGAACTTGCTCACACTAACTCCGCTTAAGAGGGAACACCAACACGCAATATATCTACTGCAGCCGATATGTTTCTTATAGTTTTACAGGCCCCTGTGGGCTAAAACCACAACATACTGAAAGGAAGGGAAGCAGGCGGCTGTTGTTGATTAGTTGATCTAACCAAGATGCCTTTCATGACTCACTAATTCCATTCGCATCTGCGCACAAATCACCGAAGTAGCTTTCAGTGCCTGGAAAGAGGGCACTCGCTCCGCTTAACGGATGCTATGCAAACCAGCGTCTAAACTAACATGTAAAGCTAACAGCTACAGCACGAGAGCGTCCCAAGGCAACCTGATACCTGCAGATTTAAAAGTTGTGTGACTGACCTGAAAGAGCCACAGACGGCTTACGCAACGGCACACAGAAAGGAGCTCTTTATCCTTTCCCGAATGAATGTGCTGCGTTCTCTGCCTCTTCCACACTGAAGTTGTCTCCAGAGTGAAAGGAGTCCTTCCAAAGGGCAGCATTTAGTACTGGCGCCTCTCAGCTATTTGCTCCGCTTAAACACTGACTAAAAAAAAAAAAGAGGGGAAAAGTTCACAGCAAAGCACAGAGATCAAAAATGCCTCTGTGTGGAGGAGTGGCGTGGACAATGCCTCGCCCAGGCAGAAATCTTTCAACCTTACAGCTGCAGAGGTAAATCTCTGCTGAGTTAACTCAGGGTTGAAAAGGATTTGTAGAACTGCAACTGAAATCCAGGCCACTAGAGGAAAGGCAACAACCCAATTTTATTTAGCTGCACAGGGGGGAAAAATCATTCCATGGTTTACAAGAATATTGGTCCCAGCGTAAGGTACAGCCATAACCACGTTCCAAAGTTCATACAGTCAACCCCCATGTTTCACGTGGAGGAAGCATGACTTCGAAATGTTTTCGTTCAATCCGAGGCATGGCTTCTCACTAACTCCACATTACATGTGCCTTGCATCCTCCTCAGGTTGTGGCGATCATGCACACACTGAGAGTTTATTTATTCACTTCATTTATACGCCACACTTTTCCCCAGTGGGGTATCCAAAGTGGCTTTCAACACTCTCTCCTTTTCTATTTTATCCTCACAACAACCCTGTGAGGTAGGTTAGGCTGAGAGTGTGTGACTAGCCCAAGGTCGCCCAGCAAGTTTCCACGGCAGAGTGGGGGATCTGAACTTGGATCTCCCAGATTCAAGTGTGACACTAGAACCAGTACACCACGCTGCACATGAAATTCAATTCCCAGGTGCGTAGAGGCTAATTTGGATTAAGGCGATACTGCACTGGCATGGGGCACTTCCTCAGTACTGTTTTCCTGAACTGAAATGGGCTTGGAAGTGACATTTGCCCCATTAGGGACTCCACATGGTACTGATGGGGTACACGTAGGTTTCCCCAACAAGGCAAACAGTGACACACACACACACCCCAGCCATTTCAGTATAGGAAAGTGGCACGGGGGAATACTTAAGCACCCGCTGTTCAAAGTTTGAGGACTCTGCTTCAGATAAGGGGGCGGCAGCCCCCAAGCGAGATTATCAACTGAGGAAAAGAACAAAGCTAAATAAAGGCTGACGGACTCTGAATTGTGCCTTAAAACATTTACTTTAATGTTGCTCTTGGAATTTTCTTAAAATAGTTAAATGATGGGCTAAAAGCTAAATATATTAGCCATGTTCAATGTAATCTAAACATGTTAAGAATAACACTTATACAAGCTAATGTAGGATCTCCTATACTTGGGTTTTTAGTTAGTAGTGGTTTTCTTTTCTGTACTTTAGTTGTAGTTGTTTCCCCCTCCCATTGTTTCTTTGTAGTTTGTAGTCTTTAGAATATGCAATTTAAAAAATCCCCTTCGGGGGTTCAAAAAACAACAACAAAATTTGAAGCACGTAATTCATAGCATGCACCTAACCTCCAGGATTGAGGGCAGATGGAAGGAAAAAGTAAACATGTAGTTACACTCTCTGTTGGAAACACAGGCAGGAAACTGGATCACAAAAGATTCAGTCAGCATCTGTTACTAGTCTGGGTGAAAAACCCTGTGAGAGAAATCACTTGTGTGTGTGGTGACGAATGTACGGAAGAAGATAGAGTTTTTTTCCTTTGGATTGACTAGAAAAGGTCCAAGTCTCACTTCCACCTGAGGGGTGGGAAAACTGACAGAAGGTGATTTAAGCTGCACTCCTTAAGAGCACCTTGTGTTGAAATCTGATTTCTTGTAGTCCATGGAGTCATATATATATATAAGGCATGGAGTCATATATATCTCTCGTCTTCATGTCTTTCTCTCTATGTATCTGTAGCTTTGCCTCAACTTGGATGGCCCAGGCCAGCCCGATCTT